GATCTGGGGCTTTGGGGAGCGCGGAGGGGGAGTTGCGGTCCCGCCGGTGGTGCGATCTCCAGAGGCGACTGAAGCCGTCCTTTGGAGGCGCCCGCTGGAGCCCTGCTCCCTTGTTCCGTCCTGGGGAGCGCAGCGAGTCCAGCCCTGGGTCAGGGTGCCCAGAGAGGCTGTGCAGCCTTTGTCGTTGGAGGTTCTCAAGACCCAGCTGGTATAACCACAGTGCTGACCCCGATTTGGGCAGGAAGGTGGACTGGAGACCTCCTGAGGTCCCTTTCCACCCGAATTATTCTGTGATCGCCGTGATCCCCATGGGAGCTGGCTGCAGAGGGAGGGGAGCCCAGCTCCCCACAGCCAAGCACGTGAGGAGAGGCAGCTGCAGAACAAGCCCAGGAGCGGCCCCAGTGTTGGGGCGCCGTGGCCGTGCTGTGGCTCCTCTGCAGCCACTACCTCTGCCAGCCCTATCCTCATGGTCACGGCGCTCTCGGGGACTGCGGAGCTGAGCCCTATTGCCTGGTTCTCCCAGGAGGGCGTGTGGGCAATGGGCCCCCATGCGATGGAGCTCCTGATTTCACCTGGCATGTCCCTGTGGTCCATAACGCCCTTCCCAGAACATCCCCCTCAGTTTGCGTGACTTGGCTCCCGGACTCTCAGATGTGCTCTGACCCTGCCCGGCAAGGAGCCCGCTGGGCCCCGGGGATGCTGCCATGGCTCCTCGTGCAGCCCAGTCACACTTTGCTCCCAGGGGAGCTCAGACGTCTCATGCTGCCACGATTCCCTCTGCTTTGGTTGGTTTCCTGCAGCGTCTGTCTCCGGAGTCCCAATGCTGTGCATGCCGGGGACATCCAAGGCTTTGCTTCTTTGGGAGGAGGGCCCCTGGCTACCCTGCTCGGCCACCTCCAGGGACGGCCGTGGTGCAGCTGGGGCAGCAGCCCTGCGCTGGTTCCGCCTTACCTTGCGTTTGTCCCCTCTGATGCCCAGGTGCCCGCCCTGGAGGTGGTCCCCGTCTGCAGGACTTGTTCTGCCTTCTCCGTGGCTCCATTGATAGAGCTGCCCAACACGTCCAGGCGACCCTGGCTGTGTGAGCTGCTGCTGCTGAGCCTTGTCATGGATAGTTCTTGTTCATTTGCAGGTCCCCGAGGGAGTTGAATGTGTTGGACTTCGTGGCAACCCCAGTGGAGCAGTGGCCATGCTGTGTCATCAGCAATGATTCCCCGCTGATAGGTACCTTGGGACCAGAGGATGGGGCTGCTTAGATCCCCACCGGTGCTTCTTCGCTTGTGTTCTGCAGCCCTGGCCATTTTGTCAAGGTTGTCGCGGTCCTGGTGCAGGGTGGTGCAGGCCCAGGGTGTCTGCATGGGCTGGCCCGGCTGCTCGGGCAGCTGAGGTCATGGTGTCG